CTTACCAGATTAATTTTTTTTCCCGTTTCTATTTTGAATTTGTTTACTTACCTGTAAATTCACTTTCATTTCTGGTATTAATTCCACTTGGAGATAACTTACAGCAATGTGTTTTCATAAATTTCACCGACTCTGCTCACTGAAAATTTAGTAAGATACATTACTTCTTAATAGTGCAAGTATGGGGTGAAGTGTTCATATCTTTGTTCTTGTTAGAACCTATGATTTGAGTAAAATAAATCAAAGTAAAAATTAAAAATATAAATAAAAACTGAAAGGATTTGGATTTTAAAGTCTCTACCGATAAGAACAAAGATATTTTCGACAATGGCAAGATTCCAGTTGATAGTTAAGTAAGAATTTTTGGCACGGCACTTACAGGACTTTAGCAGTAGAACTCTGTAACTGAACTATAAAGACATTAAAAAAGAAAGTATTAGCACAAAAATGAAATAGCTTATATTTAAAGAAATGCTTAATAAAAACAAATCAATATTGAGCTTTTTTTTTTTGTGTGTGTAAATTTTGATTCTCTTAAAGTCATAAATGTTTCATTATTTCATAAAATAATCTTATGTTTTTAATTTTCTAATTTCTGCATGCCATCTTTACTAGATTTAATGGATGATCTACAATTTGGAAATTTCCATAATCCATAATCGCTGAAATTTCAATTCCAGATCTCTGACTTTGCACTTATATCATTGACTTTGCACTTGTATCTTTTAAACAGCTGACTTTGCATGCCACAAAAGGGAAAATTAGTTCTATGTGTGTGTTATAAGTTATGTATGTTATGGTTCAAAAATCTAACATTTGACATGTTTTTTTAACATTATAAGCATCTATGCATTATTTGAAAAGTGATTCAATGCAAATGTGAGGGTGAATTACATGTGTTTTAAGTGTTATAAAAATATTTTTTTAGTGTCAGTGATAAAATTTTTATTACTATTATTATTTGTAAAAATGAGCATAAGTTATATGTTTTGTGTTATGATAATAAAAATACTGTCTGATTATCTGCAATTCACTGAAAATTATGAAAAAGTATTGATGAGGCAACAGTTTATTGCCAAACTAGTTATATGGCAACTCACTATGTCACCAAGAAGTATTTATATGGCAACTCATGTATGCACATACCACATGCCTGCTTAAATATTCATGAATTTGCATATTTAAAATTCAGCCAGCACTTTTTTTTATCAGCGTTTCTTTTTGTAGTGAGTATATTTGTTCTTTTTGTGCCAAGCTGTAATAGGACTGTGGATTGGTAGAAAAATATCAGTCAAACCTTTTTCATTGAAGCATTGCATTAGATGCTTGAACAGTAAATAAGACACGATCAGCGATAAGTTACACATATGAACCACAAACTGATTTAATTAGGTACACAAAGGATATTCTTTTGTTAATCTGAGTTTTATCAATGACAGAGATAAGTTTAATAAACTGCAGGATTTCAATTGATTAGTATGTAATTGTTTTTCTTACTGGAACTTTGAATGTAATAAGTAGTTGATTTTATCAATCAGCGAGTTTTATAGCACAGCACTTGGCTTGTTTATTCTTCGTAGGATTGAGTAGCTAATCAGAGAGTACAGAATTTTTTTTTCACAAAGAGGGGAAAAATTATGTAGAAATTATTTATTACTCAAGAAGAAAGACCCAGTTGTGATCGCCTTCAAAATTTATCCCATACTAAGTTTCTTTTTTTGCCTGATTTTAAATGTTTGACTAAAATTAAAATCAAGCAGTTTGGTGACTTAATTCTTTACTTGGTGACATGTGACATTTTTCTGTCATTTGGTAATTTTTATACAGTCAAAAGTCGTTAATTCGGACACCCATAATCCGGAATGATCTATAATCCGGACCTCAAAGCTAAAAACTTTCTGCGCATGCGCCGCGTTGACACATGGGCATAGGCGTTTATGCGTGCGCGTAAGACCTTTTACGTCTGCGTATATGCGTGTGCGCAAGCACAGAATACGTTTTCGCGTGCGCATTTTATGTATAACGGACGGTATAAGCTAAAATTATTTAATTATCTATTTCAGTTAATGTTGATGATTGCATTGTTCCTTAATTTTCGAATTGGATCCGGCTTATTATTTTTTGCAGACTGTATGAGCAATATTATAAAAGTAAACTTGAACTTTCGATTATGTCAAATAGAATTTCCGATTCTGGAGCTCCCAAAGGATCGTACAGAATGAAAGTGTGTTTCGATGTCCATCAAACAAAAAGTGGAATTGCTGCAAAAAATAGATAAAGACACGAAGAATGTGACAGAGAGGTTAGTGAAAACGAAAAAATTTCGATTGACAAGTTAGTCGGTATTCTCGGCACAGCAATTAACGGGACTTGAACAGCGGAACTTTGTAACTGAACAAGAAATTATGTCTGTTTATAGAATTAAAGAGAAAGTATAAATAATCACATAAAACGAAGCAACTTAAACAACTTACTTTTAAAGAAATGTTTAATAAAGTAAACAAATAAATATTAAGTTTTTTTTTTTTTTTTTTTTTTTTTTGTAAATTTTGATACCCTTTAGATCATAATTGTTCTTTATTTCATAAATTACAATTTCATATTTTAAATTTTAGAATTTCTGCATGCCATCTTACGAGATTTAAACTGATGATCTATAATCCAGAATCGCCGAAGTCCCGACGAGTCCGGATCAACGACTTTTGACTGTAATCTATTTTGATTTTATTTGATGATTCTATATCAGATTAAAACAAATATATTCTATAATTTGATCATATTATCAAAATAAGCAATGTATTTTCCATTTTTTTGTATGCAAACAGGTAATACTTTGGCAGTTTGACTACTATTTCCCAATGATAACATTGACCGCAAATTAAATGGCATGTGCTGTAATTCAAAATTGTTGGGTCATTTTTGGTAACCTGAGTACAGTAAGACCCCGCTTAACGCGGGGAATACGTTCCATCGAAGTAGAGCGTAATGCGAAACAGCGCTAAGCGAGGCTATCTTAACATGTAAATAATGGGGTTAGGGGAAGACGGATAAAAAATGGTTAGGCATTAAATTTAATAATGTTTTTTTAATAAAAATAAAATCAAACATTTATTTCTTACAAAAATAAAAACAATATAAACGCATATATACTTTTAAAAACAAATAAATTCTCAGTCAGATCATTCAGTCTATTCTGGGTTTCCAATTTTCTGCCTTTTTGTCAAGAAGGCATTATGATAGATTGGCTTAATGGCATATTGCGTTCAGTTTCGTCGTCAATCCATATAGACAGTCGTTTTTTCCATTTCCTCTAATGTAATTAATTCTAGAACGGGTAATTCTAGTTGCAGAGCTTGACGTAGTTGCAGTTGCCTATGACAGTATTTTTTCTTTATTCTTAAGAATTGTCCTTATTGTTTGAAGTTGCCAAAATCAATGCAGCGCTAATTTGAGATTGACGTTCACCAGAATCTAATCTTCTAATCACTTGCATTTTGAGTTTCCAGTGAAATGCTTTTTCTGGTTGCTTTCTTTTCTTGTTTTTTATTATCACCCATGATAAAAACTAAAGATCATAATATTTGTCACTGTATTAATCGTTATAGTATTATACAAATTTAAACTTACAATAATGCCAACAAATGTTTCAAATGATAAAAATGTGTCCACCAAGCAAGAAACACAACTACACTGTTTCGGATATGTTATTTGGAAACCTAGCGCTGCGCACAATTTCGGAGAATCCCCGGGTTGAAATAAAAGAGCGCTAAACCGAAAGAACGTTAAGCGGGGTCTTACTGTAGTTGAATGTTATAGAAATCCTGCTATGACGTGATTGGTTGTGTAATTGCAGTGAATTTGACTGACGGGAAAATATTTGTAAGAGCTTATTTCTGCGTTTTGATGTCAGTTATGAAGTACATTGCTTATTTTGTGCTGTACACCATAAAATGGATTTATGTGATGAGATTAATCTGAAGTTTCTGTACGATTTGGAATGAAAGGGGGGAAAAATACTAATTGACTGGTGTGTAAATGAAGGTTTGGTAAAAGTATATTTATGGGTACCTCTTGGCAAAAATTGACGATTTTCAGCAGTACATGGATACCGAGTTTGTGCAATTCTTGGAGTTGTTATTTTGTTTTTGTGTAGCGGCTATTTTGAAATCGTCGCTAGAGAAGAAATTTTGTTTTAGTTCTTATTTCATCAACAGATGCCGCCAATAGCTTAACTTCTGTCCAACTTTTCTTATCTTATCTTTCTTGACCCTTTATTTGGTTCATTTGAACTTAGCAACTGAAGAAGAAAGTTAAAAAACTAGCGAAACTAGTACTGCAAAAATTTTTTTTTAATTTACTCCAATTCCTAATGTTGGACTTTGTTTTTGATTGTTATTCAGCGTGATATTTAAACTAAAATGGTATAAAGCTTGTCGATGTAAGTACCATTCTTGTGGTTATATTCATTTGGATTGTTTATTCGTATTTGCGTAAAAGAAATATGTTCAAGAGATGTATTTGTGTATTTAAAGTAAAGAGGTAAATTTTAAACTATTAAATGTTTTTCTGGTTTCTTTTTCAGTAATATATCATGAAAATGTTTTCGCTAAAGAAATTTCAGTATATTATATTTTGTATTGCAAATAAAAAAAAAAAATTAACAAACTATACTAAACAAAACTGGCGGCAGAGTTTACAATATTGATTCTATAGAACTTTTGATTGATAAAAATATGTCCATATTTTACAGTTATGTTTGTACCAGATATTAAGATAAATATATGTTTACTTTTATCTATGATCTTCTTGCTATTCAATTTGAAAACAATTTTCCATTTAAAGCTGATAAACAATATTTAAATTTGTTAAGCCTATATGCTTTATATAAATCATTTAGCAGCTCAAGTAGTATTTAATTATTTAATTGTACATTATACTATAATATCAGTAGTTTTACTTGAATAGTTTTGGATTTGTAATGTATTTTATCTTTCTTTTAGAGGTACAAAGAAAATTTCTTCATCATTGCATGTTCTTGCTGATGCTCTTCCATCTTATGGTACAGTTAAAACTTGCATTTTTATATCTGTTATATAAAGTTTTTTTTATGTAATATATGTCGGGAAAAAATTAGAATAACATGGTCATCTACTTCCTTTTCTTAGCCTATCATGCCTAGATGTAAGGTAATATCTGAATATGTATTATTTATGAAATTCTGTATACTGTGATTAACTTTGTTATGGACAATTTCAAGAATTAACTATGAAATTTTTTATGATATTTACTATAAGTAATCTACAAAATATCCCAACATAGGACTTCTTTAGCATAGGAACTTGATTGCAAAATCTAATTGGTGGATCCTTTCCAAAATTATGTTGTTATGTTACATTAAATTGTGCTATTATGCATTTATCATCTATATAATTTGACAAATATTGCCATGTCACCTATAAAATGGCCAATTTTCATGGTGCGACACTGAACACATCTCTTTTTAATTTGTCATTCAAATTATAATTTTAGTCCATAACAAACTGAATGACTAAATAGGAATAATTGCATATCTTCATCATTTAAATCATAATTTTATTTTTGATATCAGAAACACTGTTGGCAATTTTTCCAGAATTTTTTAATTGTTACATTATGTTATTATGCATTTATCATCATAAGACTTAAAAGGTGTTGCACGAAGCTCAAGGTGTTTAATTTATCATCAAATAGATTGGCAAGTAGCTGGTTTCCATTTAAAGTGACATTAGATCTTTATCTTCCATATTGTATAACAAACAGTGATTCAAAAACATTAAATGCACTTCTTAAAAATTTAAATGTCTATTTAAATTTTCACAATATATTTAAAAGTTTGTTTACTTTATAATATAAATATTTCTAATAGCCTGAGAACTGATAAATCCTAGAGAGGTTAACCACACTGTTGTAAAACTCTGGAAATCCTTACACTTCTGTTTTAGGTTTTTGTCAGATTATTTCAATAAATGAAAGTATTTACTAATGCCTGTTGGTAAAAGTTCTATTTTATTTTACTGTGTTTGGGCTTTTTCAAGTGAATATTGTGTGTGCATTTATGTATGTTTTTAACTGTTCTTTGACCATGCAAGTTTTAGTATATTCTAACAATCACTTATCTTGTGCAGTTTTATGGCATTCAGCATTTTATTTATTTATTTATATTTGCTTTTATATCAAATCTATAGTTTTGCCATTGTTTATTTAAAACTTTTCTTTTGACTCCATATGAACAGGAGCCAATTTCTCTTATAAAGTCGTTCATGAAGGCATTCCTTTGTTCAGTCTGATAGTCCTAGTGTTCTTTAGTGTAATAAAATAATCCAATTGAAAAGGACATTGAACACAACTTCTTTAAAATTATTTTACTAAATTTTTAAGTAGTATATTATAAGAAAATATTCCTGAAATTGAAGTAACTTATTAATCACAATGTCTTCCAGCATTCATTATCAAATTAAAATTAAGGTGTTTTTTTTGGGGGGGTAGCAGGTTGACTGTTGTAACTTTAGGAGTTATTAATAACATTGGCTGAATTGTAGAAACACATCTTCATGATATGCTTCCTTGAATGGCTACATTTTTTCATCTTTATACACCCAGTAAAGAAAGAGCTTATTTATCCTTTATGTAAACTTATTTCTCCTTTATGACTTTCTCATTGCTCAGGAGCAGTAAAGTTGGTGGATTCTGATAGTTCAACGTGGGTTTGATTCCATGCGAATGGAAATGGGTGTTTACATGGTTTTTCCCACATGTAATGTGGATATGAACTGGTTTCCCTTTGAAATTCCTTCATAAAGGCATACTCAAGGGCTTCTTAGGCAGTTAGCCGTAATTGCTTTGCCGTAATGAAATAAACCAATCTTTATTGCTCAGAAAATTTTCTTTACACAAAGTAGTAGTTTGTATAACTACGAGTATGCTTTGTGTAAAGAAATTTGATGTTGGAATTAACATTTAAATAAATAGCGGAATTTAAACCATGTGGCACGTAACAAAGCCATCACAAATTGATGTTAAACGGTGAGAAACAGTTGGCAATCTCAAACAAAAGTTACGAAATTTCTGATTGCTTTTCCATGCAGTCTTTCAAAATAAGTCTTATCAACAAAGTACCATCTAATCTGCAATGGAAAAAAAAAAAAAAAAGTTTCATGAACTTGGGCCATGCAACTTGGGTGGGGCACTTTATCTGCTGGATTCATTCACTTTCAACATAATGCACTGGTGCAGTGCAGTAGGTACGAGCATTATCATTCATTAGGAGGAAGTTATTGCTGATTTTATGCCTAAACTTGACATAAGGGTAAAAAATTTCATCTTTGTGTATTTCAGCATAGTTGCACTAGTAAAAATGTGTAGGTCAGTGTGGCCATTTAAAATTATGCCTATGCCATGATTCTACTACCTTTTCTAATGATGCCTTTTTCAGTTGTTTTTAGGCTTATTGCATGTGTTTTACTTCCCATAGATTGTAACACATCTGGAATCACATCCTAAACAAAAATGAGTCATCTGAAAACAGAATTCAGTTTTAATCTCTGGTACCCCATTCATAATGATTTATGCATCACTGCAACCAGGCACATTTCACAGTTTGAGTTAGGGGGATGCATATCATGAATTTCATCGCATGCTGTCTTCTTTTATACAACTTGTCATTCTTGGCATTTTTGGATAGCTGAGTTCCTGTAGCCATTATGGACTCTTTTGCAGTCTGAGCTGATGATGTCATTTGTCTATTTTTTTAAACTTGACAAACTATAGTCCTAAACAACCATTCTCTGTGATGGCATATTTTTGACCTTGACATTTTTATCTGTATACATCAGTGTCTTAAACTGTTTTCAGATTTTTGATGTGACACTTTTGGCTATGTTTGGGTCCATATAGGCTTGTGCCAATGTCTGTCCTGCTTCCATTTTTCCAATCGTATGTTGCTCCTCACGTCCATAAGAGGCCTTCTCACCAACAGATTCCATATTTTACATACAAAAATTTTACCCACCTATTCATTAAGTTTTTGATATTGGAATTTGAATCACATCCTTGCACTTCTTTCTATGAGTACTAAAAGATGGCGCAAAAATTTTGCATATTTTCATGTAGTGAAGATGAATTTGAACATTGACCTTGAGTCACCAACTATCTAACCACCTTTCATTTATAGCATGCATTAACATAAGGATTTTTTTATATTTCTTCTTTTAATTTTTTCACCTGCGTATTATTGTGAAGACGTACTGTTGCCATTCTGTCATAAATTCATTTTCATTAAGCCTAATGTATATAGTTTACCATGACACAACTGTTCCAGGGGCAGTTGCAAACTTTGAACTTAACTGCGAGCAATAGACTTCCTGGTCAATAGATGAGCAGTTCTTGCCAGATATCGATTTTAAGAAGCAGTTGTAATTCAATGAGAGTTTTTTCTCGTCTTCCTTACAACAGTTCATGAGTTCTGAAATTGTTTCCATTGCTTAGAAATTGTCTGACTTGAGCATTCACACATCTCACTTCTTCCATGATTGTTTACTCTGCTTCTAAATGGCCGATGATTTGCCACTTCACAAGTTCTTCCAAATTATATTTCAGAGCCATAACAAGCTATTTTGAATCTCTACATACTAAAATCAAATGCTGTATTGCAGAAATTCACCCAGATTTTCACTTTGCACGAAGTGCTTGATTCACTGATGCCTTGATTTATATATCACGTTTGATCACTTTTGACTGGATGGTGCTAATCATCATTCAAACCTTCCCTACAAAAAGGGATTACATTGATTGGATATTTCATGGAATTCCATTATTTTTGGGTATGTAATGATAAATTTTGACGTGAGAGTATTTTATTCTTAAATAATATTGAAAGAAAGAAAGCAGTTGCTTAGATAATTGCTTTAATTTCTTCGGTTCTATTTGATATGGTTTGTCCTTAAATTTTTTCATTGATGGTCCTAAAAATCCTTAATAATACCTGGTATCTTTATTCTAACATTTTGTCTGACCATAGTTTTTTTTTTTTTTTTTTTTTTTTTTTTTTTTTGTAAGAGGAACCTGTAATCATTTTCTTTAACCATTACTTTCAGGCAGCATCTAGAAACATTTTCTCTTAAGCTTTGCTATACTTAGAGTTGTCTTGCTAGGAGTTTTAGAAAATGCTTGTAGGTATTGTTTGTTTATTTATTTCTGAATTTTTTTTTCATTTCCATTATTGCACAAGTTTGGGTTTTCATTTATGTCATCATTATTTTCCAATTTCAAATTAAGAATCAGTCCAGATTTTTAACATCTTCTCTGTATTACTCATGAGTTTATTGGTACTATTATAATTTTTTTCGATGTCCTTCTCAATAAGTATGTTGCTATTTAGATTCAAGAAGAAGAGAGCTTGCAATTTCTAGCTTCATAGGAGCACTACACTTAAGACTGACAGTTGATGCTCTTTTGATATGCAGCACTTTCCAGTGCTTGTACAAATCATAATCTTCTAACAATTTTGTTATATTTGTTTGCCTTCATATTATGAACATGTTATCAGTATTTTGATTTGCCTGCTTGACTGAGTCTGCAGTTCGCTGTGTCTCAGTTTACTTGTAGGTTATTTTTATATTATGAAGCATTTCAAATAAACTCTTTATTAATAAGTTGCAAAATTCCCATTGTTAGAGTGAAGAATGTTTGATACTTCAAAAATTGTAAATATTGCGAAAAGATTATATGCAGTTTCGTCAGTTCTTTTTCAGTACAGGTTAGAAAAGGGCCAATTTTTAAGATGATATTGGTATACTAAAATTAATTTCATGCTGTAGTTGGAATTGGATTTCTTATAGATCAAGTCAGCAAGAATTCATTTCATTATACAGATTAGGCTTAACTGCAATAAATCTTTTAGTGTTTTTAATTTTTTCTGACATGGTTTGTGTAATAACAATTATGTGACCATTTATTCTGCTGTCACATTCTTGGACTTCCTTGATCACGGGAGATCTTCCACCATGATCAACTGCAGCGTTAGATTAGTGTGTTTTATTAAACAATTTGCCAACAGTGGTACAGAGAGTAATACAGGATTTTCCCCCTCCCTGAAGATAATGGCACTATAAATTTTATTTTACCTCTTAAGTTGAAAATTTTTCATTGTTTCAAATGTGCAAAGTGGACTGCATGCTATATTTTCACAGTCAGTTTCTTTCACTTTATCCTTTTTTTTTTTTTTTTTTTTTTTTTTTTGTGGTAATCCAAAGGCAGGCACTTGCCTGTTCCATTGGCCGCTCACTCCTAAGGCCAGAAGTGATGGCCATTTTACTTATCAAACAGAAAAGTAGATCTCTTACTGGTTAAAAGGATAGTTCTTACTAATCACGGATGCACTTAAAAAAATCACAATTTTTTTTTCCACATGGTATCACTTATTTTTATTTATTTATTGTTTTGATAGAGGTTTTAAAAAAAATGTAAAAACAGAATTAAACTGATTTTAGATACAGTTGCTCACACAAAATAGAAAATAGAACTGAACGATTTTGTTTAACAGCTAAAACAGTCACGAACATAGTAGTACTTGCAGACTACAGGTTCAGACAAAACTCATTTTACCAGTTGTATTGGTTTCATAATATAAAATGTGAAACTGGTTTTTCATAAAATCATAGAAATTTGAAGTGGAGGCATTTGCTAGCATTTTTTGAAAAGCTTACTATTTCAGTATAGTCAATACAAGGATTTACTGTAACGTAACCTAGGAATTACCATTTTTCAGGCCTTTTTACAGTAATTTGCAGCAGCATTGTAATTAATAAAACATGTTTCTAACATTATATATAACTTACCTCTGTATAGCTGTATTTGTCTTTATATATATTATATATTTGAAATTATTTTTTTAAATTTAAGGTTTGGTCAAGGAAAGAAAACCATTCAATAATGCTGTGTTATCAATATTTGGTTTGATTTTAAATTTTAGGTTCTTACAAGTTAGATGTCATTATTGGTAATGATGTTTTGAAAGATTTATCTATCAGGTAAACATATTTCTGTGAAAAATTTTTCTAAGTGTTCTTTAACCTGTTACGTAGTTCTGATGAAAATAAGAAACTTGGTATAGATTTTTTACCAAAAGCAAGACATGCATATTTTTAATGTGTAGAAGTTTCAGCAGTGCTGGATTTACCAATTTACAAATAAGACAAATGACAAAATCTCAACCTCTATACAGGCAAAAATAAAAATAAATGATAATGAATTAAAAAATATTAAATATTTTTCGTAAATCTTTAACAATATATGAAGTATTAATTTTATTATTTGGCATTTCCTTATGGTTATAGCGTCTTTTTTTAAACACTCTATTGACATCAGGATTATCATTTCGTTCATGTTTACCTTTCACATACAGTTTGTACCATGTTTTCTTGATTGCTTTTAATATGGCATCCCAAAGCATTTTATCACATTGTAGTGTCATCAGGTTTTTCTAAGCTGGAAACATAAAAAATGTGCAGTGCCCGTATCATGACTTGCTCCAGAACTTCTGATTTCCAGACAAATGTGGTTCCAATTACACACAAAGACATGACATAAGGAGAGAGTAAATACTTTACATTTTCCTCCACTTAAAAGCAACTTTGGGGGAGAGGATCCAATTGACAAATCCTAGTGGTGACAAAATATTATTTATTGCCTTTTAATTCAAGCACCATTGCAGAGTCATTAGGTTTTTTAAAGCAGGGAACATGAAAAGTGTTCAATGCCTTTACCGAACTTGAGTTCCAGACCCTCCAGTTGGCAGCTGACAGTGCTTCCAGTTACACCATAAAGGTGTGCTCTATGGAGAAAGGAAATACCTTACAATATGAACTCCGCAAGGAAGGCAGACCCATACCTTATTGATTTTTATTCTGCCACTTAGAGAAGTGCCACAGTCTTTCAATATTTTGTCTATGAGCAGCTGTTACTGGATCATCAAAGTGAAATTTATGATTCATAGTAATTTTTTTTTTTTTTATGTACCCACTAGCAATCTGAATCAATAGTCAATCCTTCTTGTATATGGCCTATGATTTTTACAATGAAGTGTGGTTGCCTCTGTGCTGAATATACCAGTTTCCGTTTATAATCCACCAAATATCAGTATGAAGATCCCTGCTGGTTTTGTTTCTTCCCTGCATGAGCAGATTTTTATTTATATCCATGATTTTTTTCAGGCCATATGTGCATTAGTTGGCTAGCAGATTAAATGCAGAGAATATATCTCTCTCATAAACTATTTGAGTCAGTAGCTGTATTTCTGGAAAGGCTGAGTTGCTTCTCGTACCACTTAACATTTTCTTGGGGGGGGGGCTGGGGCATATATGTCTCAAGCATTCACTATATTAAATAAGGATAAAAAAATTAGTTTACTATGGAGGTTTAAGATTTGGTACATAATAGAATAGGAAATGGTAGACCCTGTTGATTTGTTATGTTCCTTCCTGATATATTAGTCAACTAAATGGCTTCAGTACATAAAAAAATAGTCTGTGTAGCCCATGTAAAAAGGTTAATTTATGTCAGTTCTTCTGGTCAACAGTAAACAAATCACTTCACTGTTACAAATAATATTCTAAAGGCCATTTAATTGAGTTCTCAAAATGTATGCTTTTCCTTGCAGCTTTTTATTTTGTAACTACAGATGCTTTCATTGATGTTTAGTTTTATTAAGTGGCTATTTTCACATAGTATCTTCCTTTCTTCTTGATAAGTTAGACATATTTAAAAATTTTTTAAAAAAAGAAAGTATGTTAAAACATGGAATACTGAGAGATCTGTGATGGGGGAATCGGGAATAATTGTGAGTTGTTAATATTTATATGAATTAGCAGTGTAGAATAAACAATGTTTGTGTACATTTTGTAATCATCACTGAGCACATATCTAACATATAAAAACAATACATGGCATAGTCGTCAATAGATTAAAAAAGAAAATCTTTTTTGAAGAACAATGCAGCATCACTTATGAATAACCGTAAAGATATTCTAAACAAAAAAACAATGGGAAATTGTTTACAGTGAAATCTAAACTTCCATTGCTGGTAAGTGTGTTGTTTATTTTTAATTGAAGTGGCTAAAAATATGTATTTATAAACTATTTAAAGTCCTAAGTGAAATATGGATGGATTAAAGTCACCAAGTAATCTAAATTTTGAAAGTAATTTAAGCGAAAATTAGAAGAAGAGGAAACAAAAATTCCAAATTTATTTGTTAGCGTCTGGCGGTATTACCAAATCACCTGAAATTGAAGTAGCTATTTTATTGCATATCATTAGTGAAGAAGCACTTGAAAAGTTTAATACTTTTAATTTAAGTGAAGAAGATAAGTAGGATGTTGACAAAGTAATTGAAGCTTTCGAAAATTTTTGCATACCAAAAGCAAACGAAAGTGTTGATAGACATATATTTTTCTGTCGAACACAACATGTAGGTGAATTGTTTGATGATTTTTTAATATATTTAATGAAATTAAGTGGCAACTGTGGATTTGCAGAATTAAAAGACAGTTTAATAAGAGATAGAATAGTAAGTGGAATTCTAAATAAAAATCTCTAAGATAGATTATTAAGGGAAGATCAGTTAACATTGGAGAAATGTATTAAAATGTGTAAAGCTTCTGAATTACAGAACTTTAGCTGAAAACTTTAACTGAAGAAAATATAATAGAAGTGATTAAATGATAGAAGTGATAATAAATTTCCACCTTCAGAGGAGAAATGTCAGCTTTGTAAGAAAAACTAGCATGTAAAACAAAAGCAACAAAGTACTAGATCATCTTCAAACTATCAAGGAAATAAGTACAGTAATCAAAAACTATGTAGAAAAGGTGGAACTTTTCATAAGTTATACAATTGTCCTGCTTATAATAAGATTTGCTTGTACTGTAAAAATAAAAATCACTTTTCTAAAATGTGCACTTATAAAAATGTTAATGTTGTACAGAATAATTTAGAGCATGAGTTGCATAATAATGGTAATGAATATATTTTAGGGTCAGTAGAAGATACAAATCCATTTTCTAAAAAACAGAACAGAATGGTTCGAAAAACTAAAAGTAAACATATCTAAATATTTATTTGTTAAGTTATCCAACTCAGTTGGAACTCAGTGTAATGTGTTACCATTGCCTTAATTTAAACAATTAAATTTAAGAGATAACTGTTTGACTAAATCAAAAGTCACTTTAAATAATTACAGTGGTACTACAATTAGTCAGAAAATGCAAATTATTATGTGAAACATCGAAAGGGGACAAGGATGAAGTGGAATTTCAAGTTATAGCAAGTAATAAAATTGTTCCAGCTATTTGAGGTTTACCTACATTGCAAAAATTAAACCTAGTACAAAGGATTTGTACAGTAAATCCTGATTCTAATAAAAAGTTACCAGAATCTTTAAAAGAATATCAAGATTTATTTAAAGGAACGTCGAATTTAACTGGATATACATATCATATTAAATTACACTCATGTCCATAAATTAAGGATAATCCAAAATCAGGCAATGAAAGAGTTAGAAGCAAAACAAATTTGACTTATTTGTAAAGCTTATTTATTAAACAAAAGGTAAAGAGCAAAAAAAGATGCTATATGTTTGATATTATTAAAAAAATTAAATTTTTCTTCCTGGAGCAAATTACAAAAAAAAAAAAAAAAAACCTATTTACAAAAAACCAATATTACACGGTTGGTATGATAGTTAATACATTGTATGTCTCCCAGACGATGCAATACAGTCCGTACAATGCCTAGGCATGCTGAGTATCAAATTATCGATCTGATCTTGGGGGATATTACACCACTCAAAAAGCAATGCTCTCCAAAGTTCCGGTAGACATGTAGGAGGAGGTTGATGGGCTGCAACTCGACGGCCAAGCATGTCCCACATGTGCTCTACTGGATTCAAGTCCGGTGACAATGCTGGCCAGTCCATATGGGTGATATCCTCCGATTGAAGGCATTCGCTTACGATGTTTGCATGGTGAGGACGGGCATTGTCTTCCATAAACACAAATTGTGTGCCCATTGCGCCTCGAAACAAACGTACATGTTGTTCCAGAATGACATCCCGATAGATTTGGCTTGTCATGGTTCCAATTTGAACATGCAGGTCAGTTCTGGAACCCAGAATAATTCCACCCCAAACGAGCACTCCTGCACCACCGTAACGGTGTCGTTCAATGATGTTTTCTTGGTGGTAACGGGTACCTGGACCTCTCCATATGAAAGTCCGGCGAGAATCAGACTGCAAGCTAAACCTGGACTCGTCGGTAAACATCACACAAGCCCACTGTTGTGGTGTCCACAATGCATGCTCTCTACTCCAGGCTAACCGCAGGCGACAGTGAGTTGCAGTAAATGGAATGCATCTGACAGGTCTACGAACATATAGACCAATCTGCCCTAAGCGTCTGTACACGGTCTGCCTTGAAATTATCGTACCAGTGGCTGAAGAGAGCTGACGAGACAGGTCTGAGTCTGTGCTCTGCCTGTTTCTTTTGGCAGTAACTGCCAAATACCGGTTCTCATTCGGCGTTGTAACTCTGGGGCGACCTGTGCTGTAACGTCTACTCACATTACCATCATCTTGGAATCGTTGCCAAAGCCTGGAGATGACACTCTGGGCAATTCCAAGTTCGTCTGATACTTCCAGTTGGGTACGCACACATTCCAGACTGCCGATAATTCTACCACGTAAAAAATCATCCAAATGCATACTTTTGTCATAACTATTTGGTTATTGCACTGAAATGCTTAAAAAGCGTTTGCGAACAATTTTACTTCTTTGCCTGTATTCCTTATATATCACTCTCTTACACTCTCGTCATTGTGACGTACCATCTGTGTCATCTGGTTACTTCATGAAATTTGCATATGATTCTTGAAGATGTGTGTAGTGATTTTACAGGTGATATATTTATTTTAGAGTTCGATTTCCGCGTGACTCCGAATTATCCTTAATTTATGGACATGAGTGTAAAACCAGGAGCT